CAGCAGGAGAGTGAGATCGCGGGCATCGAGAATGACGACGGCTTCGGGGCACCTGCCGGCGGCCAGGCTGCCCTCGCGCAGCCGGGACCCGCGAGTGGGGGTGAGTCAGCGCGGTGGCCTGGGACCCGGGGGGGGCCCCGGGGCTCTCGGGGGGGGGTTACAGGGTCAGAGCAGACGGGGCCTCCCAGCCCTGCGGGGGCGTGCAGAGGGCCTGCTGCCCACCAGCCGGGAGCGGGCCCGGGGCTGTGCCTGTGAGGAGGGTCTGGGGGAAATGGGGAGGAATCTTCTTGGAGATCCCCACCTGAGGCCCCGCCTGAGGCTGTGGACCCGGTACTCCCGGGACAAGAATTCGTCGTGACATTTCATCCTCAGGCCAGTTCCGCCGCTGCCTGGCTCTGGAATCCAACACCGGGCAGCCCTGAGAGTGTCTTCAGAGCTCCTGGTAGCCTGTCTTGGGCTCCCAGCTAAGCCCCGAAGGTGTGGGAGTACAGCAGACCTCTCTGCTCCTCAGACCCAGCTTCCTCCTACAGCTGGGAAGGCAGGGGACACTGGGTGCTCCAAGAATTCCCAAACTTTCCCTTGGGACTACCTGCCATCCTGCAGTCACGGGGCAAGGCATTTTACTTACATGTAATCATTTTATACACAGTGTGAGACCCATTTCAGAGATGGCAAAATCGAGGCTCAGAAAGTACAGTGTTGCAACAACTAGTCAGTGGCACAGCAAGGATTTAAACCTGTTTCTGCCGGGCTCTAAGCCCTCTCCACCTGACTGCATTGTCTTCTACACACCTGACTCTGAGTTAGACACCAGGGTATAATGGACTTAGGTCAAATGTGCTCCTGTCCTCTGGCATTTTCCAAAGGTGGTCCAGGGCTGTTGTGGTTAGTTTCAGACTCAGGGTTTTGGGGGCTGCTCCTTATAATAGCATGTTTATCCATGCTCCTGCTGTGGTTCTGGCTCGAAAGAATAATTTTTTAAAATATTGAGTAAAAAAGTGGATATCACCTTCATAGGTGCATCCAAAACAGCCCTTGCTTCCTATTAATTGGGGGTTTATGGGCCTGTTGGAATAAGTGATAGCTTCCATATTTTAAAAAAATGTTTACAAGTAAGGCCCCTTATAGTCATATTTGTATTCATTCAACATTTACTGAGCACCTACGATATGCCAGGCCCACAGGGGATACAGATATGACTAAGACAGTTCCCGTGCTTGAGAAGCATCTCTGTAGCCCCTTGTTATGAGAAATGTAACAAGCCTTTTGTAACATATAAGAAACTGGAGGCCCAGAGAGCTTGAGTATCTTGCCCAAAGTCACATAGCTGTGAGTGACAGATCTGGTATTTGATCCAGTCCCAGGCTTCCCAAGTCTGAGCTCCATGCTCTTTCAAATGCTTTGGCAGTCACCCTGGGAGGTGATAGGATGTGGGGGTGAGGGAGGGAGTGAGTCTTTTCTTACCCAACCAGCCATGGAAGTCTTCCGAAGCAGCAGCTCAGCACAGACCCTCACACATCTCAGGGAATTCCAGGGAAATGCCTGTCCACATTCGTGCACTAGTATTCATTTGTCCACACCTCTTCCTTGAGACCGTCAGCTTCCCCGGCCTGGCTTGGCCTGAGGGAGGCCCTGCTGAAAAGAGCCGAAGTCAAATCCATCTGAGGGAGAAGCAGGTAAAAGTCAGGTTGAGTACAGTCAGGGGCCTCTGGGAGTTGAGCAGGTCATGGCCTCTCCCGAGACAGTGGGGCTTCAGGACTGACAGCCTGGATAGGAGGTTCCTCTCTGGCAAGGGTGGGGCACAGATCGGCCACATGTCTGAGGTGGCAGGGAGAGAACCAGGGACACGGCTGAGGGTCTCCCGGACTCACACCCACCACAGCTGCAAATGCTCAGCTGCTCTCCCGAGTGGGGTATGGGGATCCAGGAGGTACTGTAGGATGGTGGCTCAATAGGTGGCCAGACAGGATGGAATTGATCTGCCCTTCTAGGCCTAGATGGTTCTGAGCAAGTAATCTTCCCCGACTAGCGTAGAGTGCCAGAAGCTGAGATGGACTGGGAACATGTGCTTTGGCCTGCTGGGAGCTGGGCGGATGCTGGCTCCCACCACTGCCACCAGTCAGCACCTTTGAGTGTCATCTCGTAGATGATGCCCCTGTGCTGAGTGCTCTAACGTTGGGTCCCTGGTGCCCCTGGGGAAAGAGGTGTCTGGTGTAGGCCTGAGCCTGAGCCACATTGTCTCTCCTTTGGGGCTAGATCTGTGGCCAGCCCGAGCAATGGACACTTTGTTTCCATTCATCACCTTGGGTAGGGCCCAGAAGGTTTACTTTTTCACACCCAGATTGCTGAGCGCCCAGCCCAGCTCTGCCCCTGACTTGCCTACTCAGTTCCTGGCAAGCTCTTTCCCCCTGCTGGGCCTCAGTAAACTCCCAGGAATGTTCTGGACCTTGTCTGCCCCGTTCCAAAAGGGGTAAGGGATCTGAGTGAAACAACACCCACAGGCTATGCCTGGGACAGTGTCTGCTGTGCTACTGTGTTCTGCCGGCCTCTGACTATGGACACATGATTATAAATGTGCGATAGACAAATCAGAAAGCATGGTGGGAACAAATACTCCTAATTCTATGTGTGGGTGTGTGTGGGTTCCCAAAGAGGCTGAAACTTCATCTCCAGAGGAACACTCATAGGACTGAGAGACTGGGACTGAGAGACTTTCTGAAGGCCAGGGTTGGCCTGGAGCCTGTGGATGAGGGGCCAGAGCCTGGGACTGCTCAGGGTGGAGTAGGGTGGTGCAACTTCCACTCCAGAGAGGCCAAGTGCACAGACTGGCATTGTCCTGAATGGACTCTGGTACTGTAAGGCCCTGGGAGAGGAGATGCCCTGGGGAAAGATGCTGCCACTCAGGCGGGAGAAGCCCTATCTGAATGAGTAGGGATGCCGGCTGACATTTTGGGTCAGGATCAATCACTGTTTGAGTCTGAAAACAGAGTTGATTATAATTTATATCAACCGGGGATTATTTCCATGGATTATGTGTCCCTCCCGTCAGTCCCCAGGCTGAAAGCAGCGTCGTTGCTGCTCACAGCTCTGTCTGGCTGGTAAAGGGATACTAGTCCACCTGTGGTCATCTCATGTGGCCTCCTGTGGCTTTTTGCTAGGAGGTACTTCAGTTTCTGAGAGGCCTCAGATAGGCCTTGCAGATAACAGTGAGCCCCCAAAGAGCAATTCAGTTTTCATTTAGCCAACACTTACTGTTCACCCATTCTGTACAGGAGCCTTTGGGAGCTGAGTAGGATACAGAGCCTGATAAAGGAGTGCATGACCCTTGAGAGGTCACAAATAATTGCATAAGAGGATGGGGGATGCTGTACAGCATTCTGGGATACCCCAGAAGTGAGACCTTCCATCAGTACCCAGGGAAGTAGGAGTAATAGTGGAGGGCTTCCCAAAGGTGGTGACTCATGAACTGGGTCTTGGAGAATGACTGGATCTGAGAGCGTTCTTTTTTTTTTTTTTTTAAATATATCTTTATTGATTTCAGAGGGAGGAAAGGAGAGGGGGAGAGAGAGATAGAAACATCAATGATGACAGAGTCACTGATCGAGCCCACAGCCCGGGCATGTGCCCTGACTGGGAATCGAACCCTATCACCTGGATCCTAGGTCGACGCTCAACCACTGAGCCACACCCGGCCGGGCTGAGAGCGTTCTTTAGAGAGGGAAGCAGGAAGAAAGGCATGGGGTACAGGATGGTGTGTTCAGGGAAGGAGGAAACCAGAATAGGGTTTGTGGGAGGGACTAGTGGGCAGAGAGGCTGGAAAAAATGGACAGGGCCCGATTGTAAAGATTCTCAAGTTCTGTGGTCCGAGGGTTGATGTACCCTCATTCAGCAGATATTGATTGAGTCTCTGTTATGTGCCAGGCACTAGGAGTTGGGCCCCAGCAGTGGACAAAACAAATTCCCTGCCCTATTGGAGGGTCCATTCAAGTGGGAAAGAAAGATAAGCACACACCCAACATACCAGGCTGTGGTAAGTGCTAGAGAGAAAATACTGCCAGGGAGGCAAGGTGCCTGAGCGGCAAATATCGGGGGTGGTCAGGGAAGGCCACTAATAGGGCAACCAGAGGCTGAAGGGAGCACCCCATGTGGAGATGGGTAAGGAGGCCTTCCAGGCAGGGGGAACAGCACCTGCTGAGTTCCAGAGGCAGGAGCAGGCCCTGTAGGCCACTGTGGTCCATAGGAAGTGGATTTCTTTTTGGTTTTTATTACATTTTAAATCAGAGGAATGACATAGGTACCTATATGCTTTATGGGCATACAGTATGGGTGAGAGGCAGGGCTGGAACAGGCCAGGGGGCAGAGAGCAGAGGGCAACTTTGAGCCCTGGCGTTGGTTTGAAAGGTGGTTGGGAGTGGGTGAAGCTGGAGTCAGGGAGGCCTTTGAGGGAACAAAAGCCAGTCATCCATTCATTCATTTTTCAATGCATTTATTTATTCAACAAATAGTTTCTGACTCTTACTACAGGGCTCTGGGTAAGACAGTGGTGAGGGAAAGGACATGGTGGGCCCCTCCAGGTGTTTGCTACTAGCAGGGTGAGAGCTAGGGCTGGGACTGGGCAGGGGACAAAGAGCAGAGGGCAACTTTGAGGGTCACTGTTTCAGCAGAAGCTACAGGAATTTGTGACTAATCAGATGTCAGGAAAGGGACCAGGAGGAGTCATAGTTGAGGGCAAAATGAAATCCTTCTGGGAGGGGCTGAAGGAGGAAAAATAGGGCAGGTGCTGCCTGGTGGGGGCTGCGGTTCCTGCTCTCCCAGGTGGAGCAGTTGCTCAAGGCACCGCAGGGACAAGCAGAGACTCGAAGGTGCCTCCTCCCTAGCCCTTGCAGACGCCGCCCTGAGACTGCAGTGCCTCTGCCTGCACAGGCTCGGTGGACAGCTGGGCCGTTCCCAGCTGCAGCAGAGGGTAAATCAATTTCAGATAGAAGAGGAGCTATTACCGACGGGATGACCTTGGGCAATCACATAGCTTCTCCGAGCCTCAGTGGGAGAATCTATAAAACGGGTTGATAACAACTTCATCACAAGGCTGTGGTGAAAAATCAAATGTGATAAAGGCCGTGAGAAGGTGTGAACAGTCACTAATGTAGGACAATTCCGTGCTTGCTGTAAGCTGAGCAGTGAGTAATGCTGTCTCTTTGTTCTCTTTCCAGCTGGTTCTGAGGACATGGGGACCACAATCAATGGAGATGTGTTTCAGGTAAGCAAGATTCTACCTTAGCAGAGTAGGGACCGACAGCCTGGGTCTCACAAATTCGTGGCTCCGTCATCAGTAAGATTAGGGCTTCCTTCCAGTCTTCTGTTCAACACAGAGGTTTTGACATTTTTTTTGTCATGTAGAAGAAGGACATGAGAAGTAAAAACCATTAGAGACAGGGATTGATGGGGTGTAGCCTCAGTCTGCTCATGGTGATATCCTGCTTCCAGAGGGAGGGATAAAGTGGCCCACGCTGGCATGGACTGAAGGAAACACAGGGACCTGCATGCGTTGCCCCTCCCAGGCTGAACTGAGTGGCCGTCTGTAACTGGGCAGGCCTTTGACTCAGAGACTCCACTTCTCAGATTTTTCCCTAAGGAAATAACTGGACAAGGAGACCCCCAGATTATTTGCAGGATGATGTTTAATAGTAGACAAATGGAAACCACCGAAGTATCCAACACTGGGGGCCTGGCTGGGTAAATTGGAAACCCATGCTGTTGCTAAAAAGAGCAGTCAGAGCTTTCTGTATTGAGATGAAAAGATGCCCGCAGTATATTAAACGGAAAAGCAGCTTGCAGAATAATGTGCGCAGTAGGGTACTGCTTTTTATTTTAGAAATATGTTTGCACAAAATATCTGAAAGGATGTGTACAAACTATTATCAGTGTTAACCTTGATGTGGGGGTTGGGGAGGGATAAGAGAAGGGCTTTTACTTTCATTGTTTAAAAATCCTTTACAGTGGTCCTATACCACACACTCATGCACACACCAAAACACCTAGAAAGGACATTTCTAGTTAAAGGCTGTCTCTCTCTGGGCCCACCTAACCCTCCTCTCCTCATTTGTACATAAGTTGTTTTAAAAGTACTTAGATTGATGAATAATTATTTTGTACACCTGAAACTCATATAATACTGTAAGTCAACTATACTTTAATTTAAAAAAATTATTTAGACTTAGAGAATTTGGCCTACAGATGGTATCCCCAGGACCCCACAGATGCAACAGTCCTCACCCCCACGACCCTTTTATTTTTTGCCTCCCCCTCATTCCCCCCAGATGCCTGGGTGGAGCGAAGCCTTCAGTGGATGAGCCTTAATTCCCACTGGACTGGGTCAAAGACCCTTGCCCACTCAGCTGCGGCTCTGAGAGCTGCTGAGCACCTGTAGCCAGCGCTGTCGCCCTGTGGAGGAGCTGGCCTCTTGAATCCTTGGGGAAAATAAACAATACTTTCTTATATAAGAGAATGGGCTGGTATCTTACAAAGGGAAACTGGCCAATTCCTGTTTCTGGCAAATTACTCAACTATCTGCAAGCTAGAAAATTCAGTTTCTAGGGCTTTAGGACATCGTGTCTCCATGGATCTGAGAGCCCCAAATAATCAGCATTGCCTTCTGATCAGTTTGGTAGATCACTGAGACCCAGGCTGCCCCTGCCCAAGGCACACTCGAAAGGACTTGGCTGGACCCAGTGGTATGTGTCCTAAACTGGACCTGGAGCTGGAGCTACACTTGGAACTGCAGAAGTAGCTAGAACATTATGAGGAGGATAATTTTCCCTTCCTATAGATTAGGATCTGAGGCCTTCTCCCTCCATACCCTCTGGCCTTACCTTGTGTTTGTTGGACCTGAGGAACCCTAGGACTCCTCCCCAATCTCAGTGTGAACTCTTATGCTCACTGGTCCCCATAATAACCCCAGGTGTGTTTCTTTGTAAATTGTTTCACATCCATGCCATCCTAGAAGCCTTACAGGCAGGAAGGGTTCACAGATGAGGCCCATCTCTCAGAAGCCAGGTCCATCCAGACCTCCTGTCCCTGCTCTGGTGCCCTTTGCACTACATCCTTGTAGCTGGACTGCCCAGGCAGGTCTCCC